AAAAAAAAAAAACAGTTGACCCAGTAGGAAGGACTTCAGTGTGTGATCCAAGGGAGTCAGGTTTCCTTTGGATGGCTTAAAGCAAAGGAGTGAAGTAATACGCTGTACACTGAATGGAAGAGGGGCCGAGCCAGGGAGACCAAGTGAGGAAGCTATTAAAAAATTCCAAGCAAGAGATAATTTTGTAGAAAGATCAATAAAATTGTACGAGGATGGAATATGGACTGTGAGAGAAAGAGTAGTCAAGGTGTTTGCTGAAACCGGAAGAGTGAAGTTGCAATTGCCTGAGATGACGAAGGCTACAGGAGCAAGGGAGGTGGTGGGGGCTCTGTGTGGGACATGGTAGGTTTAAGGGATGGGATTTCAGATTGGTGATTGGTGGTTGGCTATATCGATGGGGGAGTTAATTAACAGGTGGTGCTGGAGATACAGATTCAGGAATTATCATTACATACATGGTATTTAAATTGATAAGCTAAGCTGAGCTGACTAAGGGGATATGTTTAGGTGGAAAAGATAAGAAGCTCAAGGATGAGCCCTTTGGCACTCTGATAGTTAGAGGTTTAGGAGATGTGACAAAATGGTCAGAAGGTAGAAAGGAAACTATTGTAGTAAAGTCATGTCATGGAAGCCAAATGAAGAAACTAGTTTAAGAGAGTAACCCGTGATGTCAATGTCTGCAGACAGGTTGAATAAGGTGAGGACTGAGAACTGACCATTGGGTATAGTATGGCTTCTCTAATTCTCCCTTGACTTATAATGGATTGTCTTGTTCTAACTTTTCCCCCAGGTTGTGGCAGATACCAATATAAGCGCCATAGCAACTCAGCTTGAAAACTTGTCTACGGGCTACCACCTTGGTTCACCCACTGCTGAACACCATCCGGAAGACAGAGAGTGAGTGTTCTAGATGCAGAGGGCCTATTATGTGTGCGGGCAAACCTTTCACGGATTCTAGCATGTGATCTCTAAAGGAGAGGAGGGGGGAATGTGCATATTACCTTTTCTCATTCCTAGAGCATCTCCAAGAAAACACCGGGGTGTCCTTATTTTTCACATAGCTTTGTGCCACTGTATGAGTTCTTAATGGACTGTTGTTACAGGGCCTGCACACACTGCATCTGATCACTCTGACATGATGCCAATGCCACCTCCCCTAAGAAACCTCAGATTTACAGCCCAGGTGCACCTGCTCTATTATGCAAGGAACCAGCTTCCTCAGTGTTCTTAGCTAAATCTTATTGTTATACGTCCTGGCATCCTTCCTTAAAACCAGTCATTGCAGTGAAAGTTCTTATTAAAGCAGTGTTTCTCCAACTCGAATTGCGTAAGAATAATGTAAAGACCATATTTAAAAATGCTAATTCCCCTAGCCCCATTCTCAGAGATTATGAGTAGGTGGTCAACGGTGGATTCTCCAAGGAAATTTTGCTACAGATAAGCAGAGGACTCATGCTTTGAGAAATGCTGCCTAAAGTTATTTCTCTTGGTTCCACCAGTGCCTGTTCACCAGTAGGTGCCAGATAAATATTTGTTGACTGATCTGAATGGAAGGATCTATTGGAAGGATCTAATTATCACAGCCATTCCTAACTTTTTCCTGGTAGTTCATCCACTTAAATGACATCTTTAAATTTTTTTTTTCTTGAGGAAAGAAACAATATTAAACTAAGTTCATTTTACTATTTTCTCATTATAAAAGTAATACACGCATGCTATTAAAATGTGACAAGTACATGAAAGTATAACATTTTCAAGTTACAATGGCCCTTTAAAAAAAAAAATCAGGACCCTTATAGGAAGGATAGTATATGTTTAGCATTTTTTGAGGTACCCATCCTTTTTGATGATTCCACAGGTGCACCGCTCCTGGCAGGCTGAGAACCACTAGCTTAGAAGAATTTAAGTCACTTATAATCCAACCACTGTTAACATTTTGAGATTTGTTTTTACTAGTCCTCTATATAAAAAATTAAAACTAATTGAAAATGTGAGATAAATGGAGGCAAACTCTACCTAATGTGGCCAATTAAGGAGTGGCGCTGGATTCCTCCCCTTCCCTCTGAAAACAGGTCTGTAATTGTGAATAGGCACAATTATGAATGCCTCTAATGATTTGGTGGCCCCCAGGGTCTAGCTCTAAAACAGTGGCTTTGGACATCTAGTTTCCCATTTCAGTATCCTTGGAAATGGGGGCTGTGTTTGAAAGAGGAAACGTGAATCAAGTTTATGTCTAGCCAGTGGGTCATTACTTTCAAGAGTACTTATAAGGCCACAAAGAGATAAAAGATAAAGTCTTATTCATGACGTCATTACCATTCAATCATAGGTAATGATTCATCATTATTTCAGCAGATATTTATTGAGTGCCTTCCCGAGGCTAGACACTGTAGAAGTGCTGGGTCTTGCAGATTCGAACTTTGAAACATAGGTGAAGACATTGCCCCAGTCCTCAAGGAACTGCCAGAGAACTAGAAAAACAGACCCATTCACCCGTGGTTATAAAAGAGTTGATAGTACAGGAGAGCTAAGTTCTGTGAGCAAGATAAGTAACCATCCAATCCTGTGAAACCATGCAAGAGGGTCATAACTCAATTAAAGAGTGTACTTGTTGGCACCAATGCTAAAGCTGAGTTTTAAAATAATTAGAAAAAGCAGGAGTGGCATTCAAAACAGTCAACAATTCATATGGCATAGACCTTCAGCAGTTACTATGGATGCCTGCTATAAGCAACCAGGAAGTACATCAACAAACTACTGGTATCAGTGTGAACCAGCTGAAAATCAAGCCTACAACAAGCCAGACAAAACTGAGAAGGGGGAGAGGGAAGAATACTCTAGTCAGACAGAACAGCATATTCAAAGGTTGCTTATATCCCAGTTTTGCAAAATTTTCTAAATATGTAAATGGCTGAGTTTCTATCAGATGGCTCTGCTTCTCAGACATGCATGCTGCCACAAGACAAGTGATGCTGCCAGTATATAAACATGAGCCTCCTATGACGAGTAAGATGACAGGGCCTGGGATACCAGAGCTCCTTTAGACTTTTCCCCTTTGGACGACCACATCTGGGAATAAGAAATTGGTATTAGTTAAGCTTAGATTTAACGACTTAAGCCCCCATAGGTAATTTAATTTTTAGACATGTTGTTTCTGAGAGAGATGACTTCCATACTGGACGAAGCTTTGAAAATCTAAATGATACATTTGAAACAGATTGTGTTACCCATTTTGCTTTACCTTGGTTTCTCTTTTCTCACCTGGATTTTCATTCTCATTTATACAGTCATGATCCTGGGTTTGTGACAAGCACAATGCTCAGTGCTGGGAATATTCAGATGACTAAGACTTAAGGAGTTCATGGTAGAGGAGAAAGGTGGTTAAGTAATCACCACATGATATAACAAGTGCCATGATGGAAATCGGGACTAAGTGCAAAGGGAGCTCAGAGAAGGATGTGGCTAAGTCTCCCGAGGGACTCAGGGAAGCATCACATTGGAGGGGGCTTTTGAAGAATGAGTTCCCACCCTAGATGGGTGTGGTGGAGCGGGTGTGTGAGGGTATGCTGGCAGAAACACAGCAGCAGTTTACTGAGCTCTTGGGCTGCTGTCCCCTGTTCTAGACAGAAGTCCCACTGCAGGCTGGCAGGCTACACGAAGTCAAAGTGATGCCCCACCTCTCTACCGCCATGCACATTCTTCAAGGATGTAAAGACAGTTCCATTCAGCTTTAAATAGTAAGCTTGAGAGTTAAAAACTAGGCATATTGGGGTGGCCAGTTAGCTCAGGTGGTTAGAGCACAGACTCATAACACCCAAGGTTGCTGGTTTGATTCCCACATGGGCCAAGGAGCTGCACCCTCCACAACTAGGCTGAAGACAACTACTTGACATGGAGCTGATGGGTCCTGGAAAAACACACTGTTCCCCAATAAAATTTCTTAAAAAACAAAAACAAAGCTAAGCAGATTGACAATTTCAGCATCATGACTTTATAATATTTTTAAATAAAAAACAGTGGGTTTTATGAAAGAGAAACCCCTAAAACATCAAGGACATTGGTCACTAGTCCGGCATGATATGGAAAATTTTAAAATGTTCCTAGATTGCTCTCTGAGTTTGATTTGATTAACTGGCCTTGATAGTTTCACAGTATGAAAGTCTCTCTCGAATCTGTGTTCTTCCATTAAAATGAAATTCCTTCTCAATATCTATTCTTGAATTAAACAGCATGCATTGTGTTTTCAGAACACCTCCACCTAAGATTATTACTTTGGAGAAAGGCTCTGAAGGATTGGGGTTTAGTATTGTAGGGGGTTATGGAAGTCCCCATGGAGACCTGCCAATTTATGTCAAGACTATATTTGCAAAGGTATTTTTTTCCTTTTTACTGTACTTTTTTTTTTTAATCAAACCTAGGTGAGATTTTTTTTTAAGTGCATTGCTTTATTTGGTGCTATACCTGGATGTGTACATATATGCTTATTTCATTTAGTTTTACATGAAATTCCCACACCAGACTAGTGAAAGAAGAGTTCTTTTATAATAGTGGAGACACAAGAAGTGTAATTTTCATTGGACCCTATTACAAAAGTAATTGCTAACAGATTTTAAAGAGTGTCTTCTTTCAGCAGCACAATGTAAGGAGCAGTGTCACACTCTTTGCAAGCTGGCCTTGGAAGTATTGCTCTGGGCTAGAACAAAGATTTGGTTTTCCCATTTAAGAAAAGATAACAGACACAGAGGGCCAACATGGCATAAAACTTTGTACAAGCCTCCAATCAGTGCAACATTAATGGCTGCCCACCGCCAAAAACCTTAGGACACTTTCGCTTAAGGTGGTTTCTCTTTTACAGTACTTTGCCAAGTACTTGCGGGATCAGCCAGATAAATTAGCCTAAGATTAGGTAATAGTGTTTTTCAGGAATTAAATACGCCAATGCATCCTACTTAATACAAAAAGTCAGACAATTAAGTTTGTGAACTTTCCACCATGTAAGTGCACAGTGGAAAGTTCATGAACTTAATTTTCCTACCAACTTCGTACACATGTTATGATGTGCGTGCCTCTCGATGGCTCTTAGAGAAGTTATTTTAACTTCATTGGAATTTTTAAAGTTGGAATTTAATTTTATTATAAATTTTGAAGATCTCTGAAAAGTATTTAGTATTGATATTACAACTTTATTCTTCATTGGTTTTATCACAGTCATTTGTTTATTAATTGATCCAATTGCCTACGTTAGCCTTGTTTTCCTAAAGGTCTTCAAAAGAAGAAATAAGCTAGATACTTTCTTTTTCTAGAAGGCTTTCTAAGGTGCATGTTATTCCCAAACACACATCTGTTGACCTGGTAACAAGCAAAAGGGAGGGGGAAGGCAGATCAGAAACATTCTGGATAACAACGCTGCCCCAGTGTGACCATTCCCAAGGTGGATGAGCCACCAACAGATTATCCTCTTCTTAAAAGGACATCATAGGTGGTTGTGATGATTATTCTTAGGGCATTATTATAACTTGTTTTTAAAAGAGCCAGTGATGTAGATAAGGATAGTGGAAAGGCTACAAAGTTAGCCCCCACCTTTTAGCAAGTTGTGCCTGCGTCTCCATAAAGCCCCTCTAGAATGTTGTAATCACCAGCTCGCTGTATGCCTGTAAGTCAGCGGTGAGCCAGAGAGGACTGGTTAGCTTCTAAGTCCTTTTGACCTAAGGCCTGGAGTTCAGCAGGCTGCGCCCTTTGTGCCTGTCTACACATGTACATAGACTGGTCGGGCCAGAGTTAGGCCCCTTTTGTTAGGTCACCAGAACATACAGCTGAGAATAAAATGGCCCTGCATTGCTGGTGGGGTTTTTTAAAAGAAACCACCATCAAATCACAGTGGGACAAGAGAAATGGGAATAATGAATGGACTGAAGCTCACACAAAATGCTTTTTTCAAAGTTCCCCATTGAAAGTGCTCATTTAGGAAGCACCCATGTAAGTAGTAACATAGTGGTAAATATTGAATATCCTTGGTATGTTTTATTTTTTAAGGAGTGGACCTTTTTTGTAAAGTGAGGCACACCTGAAAATGAAAAGCTCTGAATTTAAAGTAGAAAAAGTTCTAAAGCCCCAGCTAATGGTCTACTTAGTTTAGTCAGTCTCACTAGAAGAATATTCCAATGCAAATAATAATAATTATTATTTAGATAGTTCCATAGAGTTTACTATAATAGAATTTCATCTGATGACTTTTTCTCTTTTTATTTGTTAGAGTGAACCAACATATCCAAATACAAGTTTTCTGAAAAAAATCAGTAAACCAAAAACTAGCAAAGGAGTTTTTTGGCTTTTTTGTTTGTTTGTTTGTTTTTAATGGTAAAGTCTTTAAGACAAATTCTGACACTAAGCTACACATTTCACCATGGAAAATTTGAAGATCTAGAAACTATATTTTAAACACTGAACATATATTCTTTAAAATGTTAGCTTTTTCAGTTTTCTGGATCTTAGATGTCCAGAGGGTGACTTTTTTGGTGTCCTAAGCCTCATCTAATAATTCTCTTGCTCAACTAGGAAATTAATTTGGCCCACCAAGTCTTGTTTCCTCTCTAGAAATATGAAACATCACTGGTACTATAGGTGTATAGGATTTGCAAGAGTTAATCAACCTGATTAAGAGGCTGTCAGGACCTTCCATTTTCTTTCAGGTGTTTGGTTGGAAACTTTAGAATGAAAGCCAACTTTAAGCCTCAGTCCTTTCAGCAGCCAAATTTTGCCAAAAGCCAAGAAAAGATGAGCCTAAAGACTTCATAACCCTGAAAATTTAGGGAACAGTTTTTCGGAGCCTGTGAAATATGAAAACATAAATTTGATCATCACCAGAGTTTCATTTTATTATATTACCACCATTATTGAATAAATACCGTGTGCCATACATTTAATCTTTAGAACAGGGAAGGCTAAGTGACCAAGTTGGAACACAGCAAGTGGGTAAAAGCCACATTTCCAAACCACATGGAGGTCTGTCTATGAACAATTTCTTTGTTCCCTGCTTAGTCCACAAATGCATTGATGATATAGAAGAGATGCAGGCCAGTAGTAATTATCAAGTAAGCATGGCAATACCTGAAATAATGTATAAATCCTAGAAAGTTGAAAAATCATCCTTTTTTGTATTACTGAAGATGAAGACTTGCAGAATTTAACATGCCTTTTAAAAAACGAATTACACAGAAAATCTGAGGTTTACTGAAGCCCTTAAATCTTAGCATGTAAAATTTAATGAAGTCAAGTTAGCTAAGAAATTCTGATTTTACCCATTATAGTTACTTGTTTAATCCTCTCTTTAGTGCAGTTAACACACTTTCTTAAAAGAAAAAAAAGAAAGGGCCGACCCAGTGGCTCAGTTGGTTAAGAGCTCACTCAAGAGTGCAAGCTCTGAGTAACAGCAGTTCGATTTCTGGCCCTAGCTGAGCTGCCGCTGAGCTGCCAANATTTGGGCCATTTACATATGGCAATGATATCACTAATTGGAGTTAGCAAGAGAGGGAAGTAAACTAGGAAAAATAAAACTGCTGAATGTTTGTATGTACAAGACGTTAAGATTCTAAATAAATGTAATTGCCTAAGGAGCAAATGGAGTCTTATTATATATGAAAAAGATTTTAATTTCTGCATCTGATTTTGTTTTTTCTTACGCCATTTTGTTCCCTCATAGGAAAAAAATTCAACTTTTCACCAAGTTTTCCAGTGTCCTATTAAGCTGTCTCATGTATTAATTTTCAGGTGTATTGTCAGCCATTAGAACACATGCCTTACAAAGGAGCCAGCATAGTAGTGAGTTTTGGCATCATACTGCCCAGGTTTGAATCCTAACTTACTAGCCATGTGACCTTGTCCAAGTTATTTAAGTACGCGTTGTTTTAGTTTCTTGAGTTAGAAAGGGTTGGGGGAGCTCTAAGCACTATAATGAGTAAAATCCAAGTAGAACCCTTAGTGTATTTCCTGGCTTATAGTAAACACTGCATAACTAAACATCGGCGATAAACCTTGTATCCCTTTTATGGAGGTGGCCTGAAATTAGACACTTAACGCTGGAGATTTGTGATTTCAATCAGTAATGACCTTTTAAAAATATTTTTTTGAGGGTGATTTAGCTCAAGAACTGTTGCTCCAAATCAGATAGCAAAGTGTGAAACTGGTTATAGTGGTGTGGACTTCAGATAGCAAAGTGTGAAACTGGTTATAGTGGTGTGGACTTGAGGGACTAGAGCCTGTCCTGTCAAAAAGCTGAAACTGAGCTGAAACCAAGCCCTGCATCTTCAGCCATGTCACTGGAATAGGGAGGGATACCAGCGCCATCTGCCTGCCCTCCCACTTTGCACTGTCAACCCTTTGGCAAGGAATTTTAACCTGGTACGCACCTGAATTCCAGGAATTTGGAATTGCAGGCTGCTGTTTTATTCCACCATACTCCCAGCAGTTCGATTTCTGGCCCTAGCTGAGCTGCCGCTGAGCTGCCAATAGGTGGCAGGATGGCTCAGCTAAAAAAACAAAAGATGTTAATGAAGTTGCAAGTTATTTAATTTTGGCCCCCACCCCCAGTATAGATCTGGTTTTTAATGTTTTGTTTCACACCTTTACACTGGAATTCCACTCTTTTCACTGTTTTGAAATTCTAGATCATTCACCCACCACCTCAGGACCTCCATCTGCGGGTAGACACAGATCTCTGGAGCATTAGTGCCTCTTAGCTCAGCTTCTAAACGAGTAAAGCAGGGACTAAGTGCCTGTGGGCCTTCATTAATTTCTCCAGTAGTTGAATATCATTTAGAGAACACTTAGGGCACTGACTTTTCAAGGAATTTTCATAGTTCTCCTGGCAGATGGAGAAAGCCTCCTATAAGTCATTTTCTAGGTTTTTTTCTTTCCTTACCCATCTAAAATATTTCTAAGGGTGCCTTCTTAGCGCAGTAGGCAGCGCGTCAGTCTCATAAAATATTTCTAGTAATATCATGAATACTAGATACTCAGCGTTAGCATGAAAAAAGCCCAAGATTCACTTGCTTTGTGCCATTTTGAGGAGCCATGCATGACTGGGTATATAATGAAAGTGGTCATTTAGAAACCTATTTAGACGATCAAAGATAAATAAAGTTGAAGCATTTGGATATGATAGTACAAAAATTTAGAGATGCTACCCTTTTGTGTATTTATATATAGAACAGCTATATCAAGGTATAATCCACATAACATACAATTCACCCATTTAGAGGCTACATTTATGTTTGACAGATCACCACAGTGCTGATAGCTTAATAATGCACTGGGAACCCTATATAATGATGTTATTGGCAATAAGATTCAGTTCTGCCTTTATTTGTGTATTACATATTCATGAATATGACATGATATGACATTCAAATTCCATTAAACACTGAATATTGAAATAAGGTCCTACTTGTGTTAAAAGAAATGTGAATGTCAGTACATTTCTACTAGTATGTTATTAAAACAATGCATAATTATGGCTACTATTCAACTGTTATTCAAATAACATATCCCACATTTTTTTTTTGTTTTCTTAAGTTAAAATCATTACCTAGAAATAATTTAACTTTAATTGGTAGGTTTTTTTTAAGTTACTCTTTTAATATGTGCACCATAATATTCATAATATTTGAATGTTAATTGCTTCGCCCTGGATTAAACTAGAATGTTTCTTGTTTGTAGGGAGCAGCTGCAGATGACGGCCGATTGAAGCGAGGTGATCAAATTTTAGCTGTTAATGGCGAGACTCTAGAAGGTGTTACTCATGAGCAAGCGGTGGCCATTCTAAAGCGCCAGAGAGGGACTGTAATCTTATCTGTGCTGTCATGAGCCCCCAGTCCTGATCACAAGATAGCTATTGTTGTAGAATATCCATAGAAAGATGAAGTTCTGAGAGAGGATGAAAAGCAATCTCAACTAAAATCCACCTTCAGTCTTATCATCACATCCTGTCTACTCAAGAGAAATGGCTGAGGTTTCATGTGAATTTCCCAAATCAACTATCACCTCCCTAATATTTCCCAGCATCTGTCGCCTCTTGGTGGGGTTAATTTCTAAAACTTGAATGAGTCTTATCTGCTTTGCATTTAGCATCGATGTTTATCAACTAGTAGTGAGTGGTTCTGATTATATTTGCTGAAACTGAAGTTAACAACTACTCATTCCTTATGCCCTCCTCTCCCCATCTCTACTCATTCGGAGGCTTAACAGTAACCTCAGATCTCATCCGATGAGCAGACACAATGTTAAGCAAGTTGTCATCTCACTCATGATTTACTTATGCTAATTGTCTCTTCAAGTACACCAGAAAACATTAGCAGTGTAATTAATTTACCAGTGATCCCCATGATGAAATACCAAATTCTCCTATGGGAAATTACCGTGCTCTCTTCTGGACGACTTACAGTCACGTAAGTCTCAAATTCATTTCGCTGGATAGATTTTCATACATTAGTCATTGGTGATTATGATGAGTTAATTTGCAGGCTGGAATCTGAACATTCTGAAAGGCTTTCTAATTGTTTTCTTAGCTACATAAATGCATACTGGTGAGCAAAAGCACCTTAATTCTCAACAGGAACAATTAGCCTCCATGTTCTGAATTCTAATGATGCTAAAGCATGTTCAAGTCCAGGAAGTTCATCTAGAGTTAACATCACAGGAGGCAGGCATCATACCTACCCCTCAGTTCTTCAGACCAGGAGGCGGAAGTCCTAGAACCACACTGCAGAGACCAGCAAGTGTTGCCTCAAGTCAGACGAGATATGGGTGGCCTTGGCCTTGTGGAATGTAGAGTAACAAATGTGAGGATCCTTCACCTTTGCTCCATATTGGTCAGTCTAGCAGCACAGACTGTAGGCACATAGATGGAGCAATGTACTTAGCCACAAAGTGACAGAGCAGATGAGCTGAACCGAGTAATCAGTGATGGCTCCTTGACTTATGTTTCCTGGTCTCCAGGGAGCTTCCCGTTTGCTGTAGCTTTGCATGCTAACCAAGCAACTACAGCAGAAAATACAAGAATAGCTTGACAGTTGGATGGGGACATTCTTATTCAGGTATTAGAGGAAAGAAGGGGAGATGCTTATCAATGACTGTTTTAGGTTCGTCTATAAAAAAATGCACCATCAAGGATAAGTACCAGGATTATTCATGGAAGTAGTTGGCATTATTTAACTAAAACACAATGCTGCAAATGGTTCACAGTGATTATCAAAATGTAATGGGCTCTAATTTAATAAGTATAGATTTTAATTGAGAATTACCTTTGAGTAGACATAATCACAAAGTGCTTTAACTTCTGTTGGAATATTTTGTGGCTATTCCAAAGTATAGAGTGCCTACATTTTATGTTGAAAGTGTCTTTCATGACCAGTATTAAGTTCTCTGAAATTACACATGATTTTTCAAATTTCTAATGTATCCAAGATATGCTATATTGTTAGGATCTTGTCTTTCAATTCATGAGAAGCTATCAACCTCAGAACATTCTGTGTTAAATTGTATCTGCAAGAATGCCTCAGGCAGCCAAGAAGAAATGAAGCCCAAATAAAACTTGAAAATGCATCTTAAAAGTAGACACACACACACACACACGCACACACACACACACACACAACTTTTGAAATGTGATCCTGCTTGATTTTGATGGAATGGCCATTAAATACACATTTTGAGATAATGCATCGTTGTTGTGTGTCTTTACACATTATCCTTTTAAGTCATATTACTAAAAGTCTGTTGATAAAGGCAATGTGATGCTTTATACTCCTTGTTGCAGTAAATTGACAGAACTAGTGCTTCTCATAACTGGTTCTATCTCCCCTTGCATGACTAATAAAAAATTGCCTCGCCAAAAACACTTTTTTTTGCATCAGAATTTACTGGCAAGCTAAGAGGATATGAAGATGGGAAAGGAGTGGT